TACCAACCGTTAGCGGCTAACAACAACAGCAGCAATCAGCGCAACCGCATCCATCGACAACAGTCGACCCGTCATCCTCCTCCTCCTCTGTGGATGTGGAGAATGATGAGAGCATGTCACCGGTCAGTAATAGTTCCGCGCAAGTCGGTCGCAAAGCTTTAGATCACACTGCCTTAATCGCCAGCGGCGGCGGCACAGCCACCAAACAGCCCGCCTACAGTGAAACCAGCGCATCCTCAGCGGCTGCGGCCGTGGTAGCCGCTTACCAATACAACTATTCTCAACTCTACGGCGCTGGTCGTTCAGCTGGTCTCTACAATGCACCCGTATTTTTGCAACGCACAATCCGCACGTCTCACAACACATAGTGCAGCAGCATCCAAGTGCCGTACATGACGCCACACATGTGACCACCTGGCTACCTCGGCGCGCTGAGCACGCACTCACCAACGGTTTCGCCAGGCGAGGGTGGTGTCTACCCGGCCGAATACTTGAAAGCGCTACAAAACGCGGTGGCCGCTGGTGTATTTCAAGCGCCGCCACCCCATACAACGCCCGTCTTCCAGACCTCGCCGCTAGCCAATAGCAATTCAAGTGCGTCGGCCGGTATAGCTAAATCGCGATTACGCAGCCCCGCTGCTACAGGACAATTGGAGCACAGGCGCCGGTCCCCTCGCCGCCGCCGCCGTCGAGAGGCGAGCAGCGAACAGCGACAACGACACAGCTCTCGACGGGCACTTATTTGTATGAGAAGGCGAAAAGGACGCCACCCGATATGCCGTCGGATACAGAGAAATTCTTCAAAATACCCAGCGGCAAAGAAGGATCCTGAAGCATCGCATACTACGCGGCCAACGGGCGTTGACAAGAGCGCGACGACGATGACAATGGTGACCACAACGGAGGCTGCGAAGCCACCTGTTATGCGGTGAGTGGTCTTGGTTTTGTTTTTGGGAGAATTCTACTTCGAAATTAAATAGTATTAGTTTGGAGTTTTAATGACTTTTCCCATTTTAGCACACACAATTCGACATCAAGTTTCAAGAAGGGTTCATATATTGAGCTCGCGAATGGCTCGCTACGTCGTGTGGAGGATATGCGCACCGAAGACTTTATACAATGCGCCGAACGCAGTCCCCACCATCAGTTAATCGAGTCCACTGTTGTTAAAATCAGCAATAACCAAGCGGCGAATACCGTTATCATAGCATTTAGTTACGATCGGAATCAATCGAAGGTAAGATTTTTTCTTTTCGAGTGAGCAAAATATTTTATCCGAGACCCATGAAAAGCAAATGACGGCGAATAAAAGAGAATAAATAGGCGGGTAGTGAGGACCCAGGAGACTAGGTATTCACAAAAATCCATTTACCTTTCGAGCCGCGTAAAACTATGGATCTCCCAATTGTGCAATAAAAACAAGAAGCACAACTTTCTTCCATGAACATAAAATAATCGATATTTTTTGAAGTGAAATTTTTTAATCGATTTCGGAGTTGTTTGCGTTAACCCTTAAGTGGTATCTTAAATAAGATATACTGGGGATGTGGAGAGGCAAAGACAACGATATAGACAAAGACAAAGATAATGTAAAGTACAGGGATAACGACAGAGATAAAGAATAAAACAAAATCAAAGACGCAGTAAAGTAAAAGGCAGCAACAAAGACAAAGACTAAAAAACAACAACAAAATAGAGGCAAAGATTAAGATTGAGAATAAGGAGTAGATTAAGATGAAGGTGAAGATAAAGATACGATTAATTATCGAAATAAGAAAAAATTTAAAAACCAGAAATATGATTAAAAAAAACTAAAAACTGAAAACTGCCAAAATCATCGAACTAATTTAAATTATATATTTTAAATCCCGCCTTCGTGCGCTAACCTCTTCAGTATACATATTTTGTATATATTGCATTAATTAATGCATTACTCTCTTGTCTTTCAGGTCGACATGGATATCGCTACCGATCATCCGTTCTTTGTTTACGGCCAAGGCTGGGCATCCTGCAATCCTGAGTTAACCTTAAAGGCTTACGGCCTGAAATGTCAACGCTTGCAAGTCGGCGACATTTGCATTTCACTCACCAAACGCGAACCACCGAATATTAATATAAAAAACCACAACAGCACTAATAACAATAACAATAATAATAATAACAACAATAACAACAATAATAGCACTAATAGTAATAAGCATACATATTTACATGACGCAACGCATGTAACGCATGTCACAACAAACGAAACACACGGCTTAGAACGCGATCTCCAACCACTCATACTCAGCGACAATATTTATGCTACGCATTTGAAAGGCGCCACCGTATGTCCACCCACCGCACAATATCCGCCACCCATGCTACGCAGCCCTCTAGGCACAATGCATTTTATGCCACCACATCTTTTAACCAATGCACCGCCACATTCGGGATATGCGCCTGCGGACGGATATGCGCGCTTTACCTTTCACGCGCCACACACACAACCGGCACCCACCTTGCATGCTGGGGCGCGCGCGCAACACAGTGACGCGACGTCGGCAACAACGCCATCAGCACCGCCTCAATCGGCTAACACAAGGCAAGATGAGCGCGAACAGTCGTCGGCGGCGGTGGCGGCGGCGGCGGCAGCAGCGTCCGCACGCAAACGTCGTTGGTCGGCGCCAGAGAGTTTCTCCAATAGTGAGGATGAGGATGACGAACGGACGGACGGTTATAAACCACCATTGCGACAAAAGTCTGCGCCAACAGCAGCGGTAAGCTGTAATTATAAGCCTTATCTACCGACGCAAATGTCGAGCGCTGCGGCGGCGACGGCTGGTCAATTTAACTGTGATTTTTCAACAAACTACAAATAGCAAAAGATCTCAATGTCGGCGTGGATATTTGTCAAGGCTAGGGTGTAGTGGGCGGGAGGATGAAGATGAGGATGAGGATGTGGCATCAAAGCGGCGCTTAATATTTCAGGTCTCATTCAATGATCACACATACTTATGTATGTATGTATGTATGTACATTATTTAATGTTTAAGGCACTTGCATGTGTGTGTTAATGCTTCAAGCCGTGTTTGTTGAAAGTGTGTGTTGCCAATTTGTCAAAGGATTTTGTTCTACTTAGGAAATTACTAAGCATTTTTAATATCAAAAACGAGTTAATTGCTTTGTTTATATCAATTTGAACATTGGAAATTTAGAAAAGCGACCTTCAATGCGGCATACAGCAGGAACCGAAAATTACCGTTAAATATCAAGATTTTTATTTTTATATCAATGAAAAATCGTAATTTTTTTATTTTTATGTTTTTAAGCAAGAATAATCGTTAAATTTGCGTTTATAATTTTGCGGCCAATTTAAACGTTTTTTTTTCGTGAACGTTATTTTGGATTTTAATTTTTGTCAATTATTTTTAATTGTTATAATGGAGACTGGGTTTTTATGGCCGATTCAAATATTTTATGACCGAAAAAAATAAATATAAAAAAATAACGATGAAATTTAATTGGAAAAATAAAAGTCTAATTTTAGCAATTAAATTATGATTTTTATTATAAAGATCATTACCGTTATGGTCCCCGTTTTAAATGGATTTTAGAAATTTAAAAATTTGTTTATAGTTTGAGTTTGAGCACTAATCTAAAACATCTACAAGTGCTTACATACATATACTTTCACACACATACTCGTCTATATGTACATTAAACCACGTCCAACAAAAAAAAGTTCTGCAATGTGACCGCAATCAGACTCCCATAAAAAATGAAAATGAGTTATTCTCTTTCGAGATCAATATAATTTTTAGGATTTACAAAAAAGGCTCGAAACTATACGAATACATTGAGTACATGCTTTAAATTCCGAAATTATTCTTTTTTAATCGCTTGCCCTGTTTTGGTCAATTCTAGTAATTTCAAAAAAAAATAAAAAATGGCATGTAAGTAATCTGAGCCTGTATACCACTTAATGGCATACATTCCTACAGCTTCGGACGTTTTAATTGATCCTAGAAAATTATACTGACCTCAAAAGAGTATAACTATTTTCCTTATGTGTTATTCCTATGGGAAAAATAAACGCTCTATGCGCATCTTTACTGTACCAAATATGTACTAAAATCTGAGTCAGATTGCGGTCGTATTGCGGGATTTTATTTATTTTTTTTTGACATAGTACAACATACATACATACATTGATATTTAGAAATGAAAACGCAAGCATGAAAATGTAAAAATTTTATTGAGTTGCCCTCCCCTGTCAAGTGTTTCGTTAATTTTAAGCAAATGATTGTGAAAATTAGTATACATACATGCATGTATGTACTATATAATTAGCTTGAAATCACAATATGAAACTAAATATGTATGTACATATGTATGTAGTATAAGTAAATATTCCAGGCCATATATACAATATCTGTGTATATATGTAATACCATGTCAGACTGTAAATTTGAAATTATAGCCATATGTAAATTTAATCTATTTACTATAGTCATAAATATGTAAATTAGACCGTATTAGAAAAAAGTTTGCCTTTTACCCCTGAGTCTAAAGTATTTTTGCAAGCAAATTTGGAAAACAAATTCTTATGCGAACTTCCGGCTTTTCCAATTTTTGTTTTAAATTTTTCGTTACATTTTCGGCATTTACAGTCAGATCTTAAAGTATGATATACCGATGTTTTTGTCGCGAGAACAAATATTTTTTTTTTGTTTCAAAGTTCATTGTCCGAAAGAACCTCGTGCTAGTGCTTACCCAGTTTTCAATACTTATCACCCTAACATACCACCCTAATGTCTTTAAATTAAAGCTCACCAAAAATCGTTCAACATTTGCTAAGGAAGTATTTTGATAATTCCAACAGAACTTAAAAAAAAAACATATTGCAAAAAAAAAGTTTTTTTTTCGAAATTGCCTTGCAAAAATACTTTACGATATAAGGTGGTACGGTCTAATGGCATACATACATATGTAAATATATGTACATATGTGTGTATAATATATGAATATAAGTAAAAACCTTTAAATATGTACATTTAATGTAATTAGTGTATTGTAAATAATTAAAGAAAAACATGTATAAGTAGTCCTGCGACAGCCACTGCAATAAATACTAAGTTTTAAAATGATATGCACAGCTTTGAATTTATGAAAACCGGGAAAAAATGAGGTTGAAAAACGACGGCAATAACCTACATATATTTATTGGTTATGTATTTTTTTATGAACATTCAAAAGCTTGGTCCTTAAAAATAAAAATATCATGGTGAACTCCTTTGTTTTGTTCTGCGTACAAAATAAACACTTCCACGAAAATTTTAAAATATATTTTAATAGCAAAATATCGCCAAAATTTTTACTTTGCCCAGCTATAAATCAGCGATTTCTTAAATTAATATGAATAAGTTTGAGTAATATGCCGAACTTATCAGGTTATAATTAAAATGTTTGTCGAGTTTTTTCATTTAAAAAAAATTTAAATGTTTGTAAATCCTGTTGGCGACCCCTAAAAATTCGTAAAAGAAATCTTAACTTTTGAGCACCACCCTAATTTCCATGCATTCCTTGCCCTGTCATTTGCATACTCTTAATTTATTTCCCATAAATATATGAATAAAAATCAAAGTAATAAGTTTTCACCGCTTCCACTGCCACCGCAATGTGTGTCGAACCAATGCCACCAGATGTCACATAAGCACGTCCGTTATCATTACTTTGGTACACATTGATTTGAACATATGTAACAACTGCACCCGTACCACTGCTAGGATAACGCGTTTTGGCAGTCAAGGTAGTAGGAACATTGAAGTCATTTGTGCTCGAGTCACTCGATACGAGGCGATCACCTGGCAATCACGAAATACATACATATTCCTATTCAATTCATTTATGCATTTTGACAAACAAACACACACACACCCACCTGGAGCTCTTGCGGTACCCAAAGTATAAGTGATTTGAGCTTTGCCTTGTGATTGCATTTCACGACCTTCAACCCGAGTCCTTGTTGCAGTCATCTCTATAGCGTCCGGATTTTCGTTAAGTATTTTATTCATTTCTTCGGGCGTAACTATTTGCAAAAGCACATTTTTTCCATTCTTCAAATGCGGCTGACGGATTTCGTTGGCAGTGGCGCCCAACAAAAGAAGCGTGGTGACCAAAGGTCCAATCAAAGCAACGCGGCTTTTCATTCTACTTGTATTTGCTGTTCTGGCACCTAATTGTCTTGTATTCACACGGTTTTTATATCTACAAAAAACTGAGCGCACAATGTAGGATGAAGAAGCTTATATAGCGACCAGAAAGGTGGCGCTTAAAAAATCATTGTCAGTCGAAGTTATCTTTCACTGTTCTTATCACACTACTACAGTTAATTTTAATTTCTTTAACGCCCAAATATGTACATATGTATATACATAGGTACATATACATATTTGTCGTTTTGCTGCGCCTCATACTAAAACTTAATTAAAATTATAGAAAAGCCTCATGTGGTAGTTTAATTGATATGTGTATCCTCCGTAATGATTTACGCATTTGGTGGGTGATAAACTGCTTTCATCTTCAATACAGTTATACATTTCTATGCGGCTGATAAAACAAAAAGGGAAATTATCATTTCTTTATTGATGATGTGCGCAAAACGGTCAGTATGGTTTTTTATTTTATTTTCCCCTCGCCTTATTTTGACCAATAGATTACTTCGGGGTTTATGGCTTCCTGTGTCTGCAATTTATTGTGTGTATGTATGCTTATCTAATTAAATATATGAATGAATTCATACGTTTGCATATGCTAATAAATTAAAAGAAATTCACTTGAGATTACAGATTTATGTATGTATGTTTATTATAAAAGCTCTGATCCAGTACTCCATGAACTTACAGGATCTCACACGAACTTGCAGGAAGTTGCACGTAAAATGTTCCCGTACTCCAAAATCTTGTAAATGAGAGCGACTTTTGGAGAGTTGTATAGAGAATGAAGTTGCAAGATTTTACCCGAACTTTATCTTCCGGTAAAATGGGTTTTTTGTTCCCGTACTTTTTGTTGTTACTCACTTTTTACTCTCACTTCAGAGAGTAATTTTGCTGTTTGACAGTTTTACAGGATTTTTCACGAAAAGTATTGGATCAGAGCTAAATTCATACATATTTAGTAGCTACTATTTTAACAAAAATTCAATTTGTATTTCATTTTGTCCGCGCTAAGCGTAACAATTTTCAATCGACTTCCTCTACATTTCACCCTGTGGTTTGTGCCTTTGATAGATTGTATGCGAGATTTGCTGGTTTAAAGAGTGAAATACACCACACAAGCGGCTTGTCAAAACATACTTCAAACCTACTTTTCCCATTACGCCATTCAGTATGCAAACATGACTCGTTCAAGCAAAGAATTTTACTTTTCTTCCAGTTCACAATGTAAAAAATTTTGGTAGGTTTCTTCCATTTTTCTCTCTTACGTCTTCACATCAACATGGCGCCCAGAAAATCAAAAAATTAACAGCGAAATTCAACACACAAGCGCCTTCACAAATCCAGCTATATATCGCTTTGCTGCTAGTCATTTGTGTTGTGTATGACGGTATTTGAACGAAAATTTGAGGGATGTTTGAATGGCCGTTTGAGGGAAATTTGAACCAAAATCAAAATATTTTTATCCTCTGGCCGCCATGATGACGTTTGATCAAACCGCTTGCGTTGTGTACTGCAGTGCGGTTCATAAATAATCAGAAAAATCTCCACATGAAGGTAAATAAAACTAAATAAAACTCCATATAAAAATACGACACAGTGAAGATATCTGGTAGCACTTGAAGATCTATTTTTTTTTTGGATAGTTGGCAACAAGTTTTTAGATTTTGTCATCAACTTTCTGCTGCACATGCGAAAATAGGACAGCTAGAATTCTGTTGTCAATTATGGATAGGGAAAAATGAAACGTCGAACTGAGCAGACTGTATACTTTGAGGTTTTTGGTGGTTGGCATTGGTAAGTGACAACAAAATTTTCGAGTTTTGTCATCAATTTACTTTGCAAGATACTGATTTTTATGAATATGTTTTTTACTTGATTTTTCCTGTCAAAATTCGCGCTCAAACTCGGCTTTGTGCAGCTCAAACTCGACGTTATGAATTTTCACAAGATACAAAGTATGGATAGATATTTGTTAAAGTAAAAAGGTAATTAATTTTGGTTTCGTAAACTAACATTATAGAAACATCATCATGATCATCTAATAGCGAGGATGAATGCATAGATCCCGAGAGAGTTTTTTGTCAAATAAATTTGAACAAAACCAAAATTCGTAATAAAGCTTACCTAGTATCCAGCTCTCAAGAAAAGCAAAAACTCCATACAAAATGACATACAAGAAGTGACAAAGAAATTTTCTTGTGTCAAATTTCCTCAGGGCAGTTTTCTAAAGTTTTTTGTGAAAAAATAGCACAAGGCAACCCATGCTTTCAACAGAAATATATATATGAGAGTGAGGCAACAGGCTGTGAAATATCAGATGTCAAAATTCCTTGGCCACATCCACGAAATAATGGCAACTCTTTTCTTGACTGCAAACCATCATCTTAAGTGGTATTCTTTATAAAATGTATTATTTAATTTTTTTTTTTTAAAATGTGTTATGGTTTTGTATAACAAATAAAATTTTAATAAAAATATCTTCAATAAAGATATTCCGAGAGAAATTTGAATGTTCAAAATTCTTCCTCTTCTTATAATTTTTTGACAAGATAAAACCATTTACCTTAAATAAGACATTGCATCTGAAATATAAATAGAAATACATTTACAAATCATTGCAATTGGTCCTACTAAACTTTGTATCCCAAATTTTCTTTCAACATTTAATATCTAATAACAAGTTTCGTTTCAAAAGCTTTTTTTTTAATCAAAAATACCCAAATTAAACTTATTTTCTTACAAGGAGATGGAAACTCTATCGATCAGCTGATGAAATCAGTGTTGGGACTCGCGCGTTCGTGGTATTTTAAATTAATAATATTTCATTTGTATACGCTTTCAATAAATTTATTTCCTCTTAAGCTCAACTAAAGCTTCATAAGAGCAAGTCTTTTTCCCTTTTTTGTGTATTTTCCAATAGTTTCCAAGGATTTCAAAAACAATTCTTCTACGCACTTGTTTATTTCTACTGACTATGGCAACACTACGCAAAATTGCATTTGTTGTTTCCGTCGCTTTATCTTGCACATTTGTGTAATTTTCCGTGAAATAAATTTGTGCAAAACAATTAATATCTGTTATTTTAACAATAAAATATACTTCTAAACGGATGAGTGATGATCGTAGAATCCAGGATGTTCGTTTGGGAGGTAAATACTAAATTGATTGAATATGTTTTAATTGTGTACATGTGCTGAATTTTCATCGTTTCCTCCCTCGCTCTTTTTGCTATCCACCCGCCTGGGGATAAGGTTCGATCAACAACGTGCGGACTTATTCCCAACATAATA